TCCCACTTCCGGCCTTCGGTAGGGCGCCATTGGTGCCAGCTCTGAGGGTCCGGAGCTTGGGAGTGCTCCTGGATGCTTCCTTGACAATGGAGGCCCAGGTAGCAGCCACTGCCAAGGCAGCCTTTTACCATCTACGGCTGATTAGGCAGCTGGTCCCCTTCCTCAAACACAATGATCTGGCGTCAGTGATCCACGCGATGGTTACCTCGAGGTTGGATTACTGCAATGCTCTCTACATGGGGCTGCCCTTGGGGCAACTTCGGAAGCTGCAGCTGGTGCAGAATGCCGCAGCTAGGTTGTTGATGGGTGCCCCTATGAGGGAACACATCCAACCGGTGCTGAGGGCGCTGCACTGGCTGCCAATAGCGTTCCGGATACGCTTCAAGGTGCTGGTTATGACCTTTAAAGCCCTTTATGGTCTGGGGCCTGTCTACCTGCGGGACCGCCTTTCCCCGTACGTTCCCCCGAGAGCACTGAGATCTGGGTCGCAGGACCGGCTAGTCCCCCCCTGGCCCTAGGGATGCCAAACTAACAACTACTAGAACTAGGGCGTTCTCCTTGGCTGCACCAACATTATGGAACCAGCTCCCTCATGAGATCCATGCACTCCGGGATCTCTGCCAGTTCCGGAGAGCGGTGAAGACGGAGCTATTCCGTCAAGCATTTAACAACTCAGACTAAGCATGATTGCACTTTATAGTTGCCGCCATGGGTATGTTGTACTGTGTGTAAATAGCGATTTTATTGTACTGTTATAGATTGTTTTAGAGGCATTGTTTTATTGGTTTTAATGTTGTAAGCCGCCCTGAGCCGCTTCGGCGGGAGGGCGGGATAAAAATCAAATAAATAAATAAATAAAATAAAGCTTGTTGCCCTGTAATGGGATTTTTCTGTCTGCTGAAACAGCCTTTAACAGCTGAAACAGTTCTCTACAAATTCCTTTCGTCAGAAGAATTGTCTCCTAAAGATGCCATAAGAACTACAATGTAAGTGCTCTACAATGTGCGTGTAAACCCAATCACCCATAAATTATACAGACATACATACAGTACACTTACCCAAAATGTTCCAAATATTAAATCAGAAGATTTAGGCACTAAAGTGTAACACGGAGTTCTCTCTTTCAAAAGTCAAACTGGCCACTGCCGCTGTTGCCCCCATGCCACTACCCAGTAAGCCAGCCAGGCGGAGGCAGCAGTAGGTGGGGGAGAGCGTAGGAGACAGGGTGACTGATCGGTGGCCAAGATGGCAAGCAAGGGTGGGCGGAGGATGGGACTCCCCCCTGAGTCTGAGGGGGTCCCCTGCTTGTTATCAGCAGATTTTTTTTCCTGAATTCTAGATCACACACTAGTATGATTGTACACACTGAAAGCCAGTGTGTTGCAGTGCATGGCGCAGTGGACTTGAACAGGCAAGGCCTGAATTCAAATTCCTGCTCACCTGCGAAGTTCACTAGCTCTTGGCCTAACTTCCCTCACAAAGAGCCGCTGTTGAGGACAACTGGGTTTTGAGCACCCAGTTCCTCGAAAACACAATTAAAGGAGACTGAGACGATAGTGTGGATATAAAGGTTTCAGGAGAAAAAACTTTGATACAAGTGTAACCCAGAAGAAGAACCCTGGCTACGCAAATCCCCCTTCTGATTTTTCTTTCCATGTGGAGACCTGGGGATGGTTCAAGTCAAGAAATGAGAGGACCCTTAAAATCCCCCACCCCCCAAAAATTTCCAGGCAGCAGAGTTTTCAAGGAAACATAACTTTATCGTAAGCATAATATCTGTACAATCATTGGTGTAACTGAAACCCAAGTGCTATGAAGGTATCAACTTTGATAGGGGCAGGATCTTCAGTGCCCTTCAGAAACGGCAGGCTGAACACAGGCAAATCCTAACAGATGGTGCCCAGGAAAGCAAAAGAAAGAAAAAGTCCAGACTACTAATTTAAACTCTCAGGGCCTCTTCTTCCTCTGTAGGCTCTGGAGGTTGTTCCTCTCGTGCTTGAGGAGAGGGGAGGCTGGGGAGGGCCTATTCAGAACCCTCCTTTGGAACGAGCCTGCTGTTCTTTATAATGGGAAATGTGTTAACTGTTGTTTTGAGGAATAAGCTACGAAGAAAAAAGGGAATGTTGGGACACGGGGGGGGGGGAACGTTTCCATTTTACTCAAGTCAGTTTTGCTGGCTGGGAGTCCAGAGAGGCCTTTACAGGACTCAAAAAGGGGAAGGGTCTTGAGGAATAATATTTTCTTATTGATGGTCCTGGTGTGAAGAAAAGGTCTTAGGAAGATATTTTGAGGTGGCCTTTTTTTAATACCCAAAAGAAGGGCAGGAGGGTCTCTCCGAGGAAGGAGGCTCCAGAGAACTCATAGAGAAGAGCTGCTCGGTCAGCATCGAAAAAGGCCACTCGCCCCCCAATGTAGTTCAGGCACACTCGGATCCTCTTCAGCTCCCCGGTCAGGGTGAGGGGAGGACTACAGCCTTTCACAGAAGCCTTGTAGCTGCCCCCCCACTTCCCCGCCTCCCAGATCCCTTCCTCAGGATTCAAGGTGATACTTCCCTTCCTCCTCACAGACTTTCTGGCCACCCCCACAGCCCAGTCTCCCTCACTTTCCACAAGGACTTCCCAGAAATGGCGGCCTCCTGTGAATCCCTCATGGCCCAGCACAATATGGCGCTGGTCAAATCTCTCAGGATTGTTGGGCAGGGCTTGAGCTTTTTCTCCATCTCTCACGCTTTTCTGACCCTCAGACAGGATGAGTTTGGGATAGGCCGTGTCTGGATCCAGAGTCACATTTGCTGTTGAAGGAAGATGAGGAGACAAGAAGAGAAACGGCATCAGCTGGGGGATTTCACCTTCTGGCCTGTTGTGTTCCCTTCTCCTGCCAGTCATGGCCTCCTCCCACCTTTGCCACCCTCTCCTTTGTAATATGAATGGAAATATAAAGATTTTTTTATATGGTTTTTTTTCTTCTTGATTGTTCATATTCATATTTTTCCTGGTTTTATGGATTTCTCTTTTAAGCGATATTTTATTAGAATGTTAGAAAGGCCTGTTATATAGGCTTTCCTCTTGTAGGTCTGATATTGTTAGCAGACAACATAATAGGTACAAAGTTCATGATTCTGTAGTTCTTAGGGCAAACCTTTCAGTGTCTGGGTCAGAGAAGATTTTAGTCTGATATGAAGAATCCTTGTCCATTATCATTTAGGTTAGGTTAAGTAAACACTTAGGTTTTACGTAGATTTGACGTAGATATATGTTTCTTTACATCTGGCCAATCAGAGGATTATTACTCAAATTACCATTGTCTTTTATAACCAATTATGCTTTTTGAATATTGTTTTCTTGATGATGTCAGTCCATGTATAAAATATCATGTATTTCCTGAATATGTTCAGAATATGTTCAAGAAGAAGAAGATGATGATGATGAAGAAGAAGAAAAATAAGAAAGCTGTCAATTTTGATGAGTTATTTGGTCCAATTGTTTTCCTGTTAATTGAAGCATATCTCCTGAATATGCTGAGAAGAAAGTAGTCAATTTTGGATGGACTATTTGGTCCAACTGTTTTCTTGTTAATTGAAATAAAACATAGATCTTCCTCCTCATTTGACTTCATTTTTGACATGGAATCTAATATGTACAACACCTTGGTCAACAGGCCCTCCTACCCTCTGAACAGTCTTCCTGTGTGCTTCAAGAGAAGGCAGACAAAGGACACAATAAACACCCACTGGAACGCAATCTATTTCCTCCCATATCCTATCCTATGCAGAGAAGAAAAGAAAGGAAAAATGCTTATATTGTTCAAAGGGTGTGTGTGTTTTTTGTCAGAAATCTCACACATGGAAGTGCAATTTACACAAACACTAATCACGTGAAAATGAGCAGAGGCACAGAAAGAGCTGAGCATGTCGTGGCTCTCAGTCCTGATCTCAAGAGAGGCAATACCACCTAATTTGGCATTAACTGAATGTATTAAAAGTAAAGGTTCCCTTGCTCGAAAGCCAGTCGAATCCGACTCTAGGGTTGCGGTGCTCATCTCCGTTTCAAAGCCAAAGAGCCAGTGCTGTCCAAAGACGTTTCCGTGGTCATGTGGCCGGCATGACTAAACACCAAGGTGCACGGAACGCTGTTACCTTCCCACCGAAGTGGTACCTATTTATCTACTTGCAATTTCTTGCTTTCGAGCTAATTTGGCATTAACTGAATGCATTACCTTGAACAAAAACCAGACTATAAGGTCCCTCCCACCATGCTGTAAATAAAGTGAAGCTAAATGGCCTGCTTGCGTTCCCCAGAGGATGCAAGTAAGATCAGACCTTTACACCATGGCCCACGCAGGTGAGATCGGACCTTCACACCTGAACAATCTGCTTTCCACCTTTCTATCTTTTTAAAGGTTGTAACAGTCAAGGTCTGCAACCAGGATCCCTTGGAAGGGGGGCGTTCATAGAATCGTAGAGTTGGATGGGACCTCCAGGGTCATCTAGTCCTATCCCCTGCACAATGCAGGAAATTCACAAACACCTCCCCCCCACACACCCCCAGTGACCCCTGTTCCACCCCCAGAAGATGACAAAAAACCCTCTAGAATCTTCAGCCAAACTGGCCTGGAGAAAAATTGCTTCCTGACCCCAAAGTGGTGATCAGCATTTCCTTGAGCATGTAAGAAAGGGCCATGAGAACTAAGCACTGATGGAACCCTTCCTGTCCTCCCTCTCATGATCTGCCTAAGTTCACAAAATCAGCATGGCTGTCACGTGGCCAACTAGCCTCTGTTTGAAAACCTCCAAAGGAGAGCCCTCCACCTCCCCAGGAAGCCTGTTCCACTGAGAAACCACTCTAACTGTCAGAAAGTCCTTCCTAATGTTTAGCCGAAAACTCCTTTAATTTCAAAACATATGTTCTGGTCCAACCTTCTGGGGCAACAGAAAACAACTCCACACCATCCTCTATATGACAGCCCTTCAAACCAAAAAAGGCTGAAATGTGAGTGAGTCCTCGCACCCCCTTCTACAGACAGCCAGAGACCAAGGGACAGAATCTCAGGTTCTCCTGGAACTAAAAGTCAAAGAAGTCACCCTTGCAAGGTAGGACACTTGAAAGGCGAGTTTCATAAATCAATTACTTGGGTAGCTGTAGCCAATGAGGGCTAAAATACTGCATTCAGACTGAAGCCTTCCGATTTCGAGAACTCCACAAGACTAAAAATCAAGTGATTTAAAATTGTGCAAAAATAATCAGCAACAGAGCAGTGAACAGTGAGGATACAAAGAACAAAGCTAAGACTAATTAAGCACATTTACACACAATGGTTCAAGATCTGAAACGTACCAAAAGTGGACTGAGTCCAACAAGGTTCCAAAGTCCAAGACGAGGTCTTTGTTCAGGAAGACCCCCACCAAATGAGAGGTGTCCCCAAGTCAGATGTGATCCAGACAAAATGCTCAAGGCTTATCGAAGCCCAGGGCAAAGAGAAGCACTAGAACAAAAACCCTTTACTTTATGCCCAGAGACCTGTGTTGTCCTGATTCTAATTAACCAATCAAATGTATAGCGAGGATGGAACTTTGTTGCTAAGCAGGTGATCAGAGGGGTTTGCCAATTAACCTGAACGGACTAGAGATCTCTTCAAGAAAACTGGAGAAATCAAGGGATTGTTCCACGCAAAGCTGGCCATGATAAAGGACAAAAACGGTAGGGAGCTAACAGAAGCAGACGAGATTAGGAAAAGATGGCAAGAATACACAGAAGAACTATACAAGAAGGACCTCAATGTCCTTGACCACCACAATGGTGTAATCACTGACCTTGAGCCAGACATCCTGGAATGTGAAGTCAAATGGGCCTTAGAAAGCATTACTAACAACAAAGCTAGTGGAGGTGATGGTATCCCAGCTGAGCTATTCAAAGTCTTAAAAGATGATGCTGTTAAAGTGCTGCACTCAATTTGCCAGCAAATTTGGAAAACCCAACAGTGGCCACAGGATTGGAAAAGGTCAGTATACATTCCAATTCCAAAGAAGGGCAATGCCAAGGAATGTTCAAACTATTGCACAATTGCACTCATTTCACACGCTAGCAAGGTCATGCTCAAGATCCTACAAGCTAGGCTTCAGCAGTATGTGGATAGAGAACTGCCAGAAGTACAAGTTGGGTTTGGAAGAGGTAGAGGAACTAGAGATCAAATTGCCAACGTTCACTGGATTATGGATAAAGCAAGAGAGTACCAGAAAAATATCTACTTCTGCTTCATTGATTATGCTAAAGCCTTTGATTGTGTGGATCACAACAAACTGTGGCAAGTCCTTAAAGAGATGGGAGTGCCAGACCACCTCACATGTCTCTTGAGAAATCTGTATAAGGGTCAAGAAGCGACAGAACTGGATATGGAACAACTGATTGGTTTAGCATAGGAAAAGGAGTACGACAAGTATGTATATTGTCACCCTGCTTATTTAATTTATATGCAGAGTACATCATGCAAAATGCTGGCCTGGATGAATCACAAGTCGGAATTAAGATTGCCGGGGAAAACATCAACAACCTCAGATGTGCAGATACCACTTTAATGGCAGAAAATGAACCTAAAGAGCCTCTTGCTCAGGATGAAAGAGGAGAGGGCAGAAGTTGCCTTGAAACTCAACATCAAAAAAACTAAGATAATGGCATCTGGCCCTTGGCAAATAGAAGGGGAAGTCATGGAAGCAGTGACAGACTTCACGTTCCTGGGATCCAAGATCACTGCAGACGGTGACTGCAGCCATGAAATTAAAAGACACCTGCTCCTTGGGAGGAAACCGATTGCAAAGCTAGGCAGCATACTAAAAAGTAAAGACGTCACCCTGCCAACAAAAGTCCGTATGGTCAAAGCAATGGTATTCCCAGTAGTACTGTATGGCTGCAAGAGTTGGACTATAAGAAAGGCCAAGCGCCGAAGAACAGATTCTTTTGAATTATGGTGCTGGAGAAGACTCTTGAGAGTCCCCTGGACTGCAAGGAGATCAAATCAGTCAATCCTAAAAGAGATCAACCCTGACTGTTCCCTGGAAGGCCAGATACTGAAGCTGAAATACTTTGGCCACCAAATGAGAAGGGAGCACTCACTGGAGAAGAAGACCCTGATGCTGGAAAAGACTGAAGGTCAAAGAAGAAGGGGACAGCAAAGGATGAGATGGTTAGACAGTGTTATCAAGGCAATGAACATGAAAGCAAACTCCAGAGCACGGCGGAAGACTGGAGGGCCTGGTGTGATGTGGTCCATGGGGTCGCGAAGAGTTGGACTCGACTGTGCGACTGAACAACAACCTGCCACTGCATGGGTTCAACTGAGCCTTTCTCCCTTTCTCCCACCCATCATTCCAGGCGCTAACAAGATGGAATGCGCCCTCCCAAATTCTCGTGCCCTTGAAGCTACCAGGCCTAGAGGTGGGACCGGCTGCTGGGGTACCTCCCATCTCCCTTATCTCAGTCTTTGATGCTACAAGCAGCTTGACCTATGTTTCAAGAGAACGAAACTTCAGAAGAACATAAGAGAAGCCATGCCAGATCAGGCCAATGGACCATCCAGTCCAACACTCTGTGTCACACAGTAGCCAAAACCCAGGTGCCATCAGGAGGTCCTCCAGCAGGAGCAGATCTCCAGAAGCCCTCCCACTGTTGCCCCACCCTGAACAACTTCCATCTTTACTAGGCCATGGCCTGAACCACTGATCAAAATCTGAAGAAGAAACTGTGTAAAAAGACCAGTTTCTTGACTGTAACTTCCTGCCCAATGAAGACCTCGAAATCTTACACAATGTTGTGTCAATTTAGTTGTTCCTAATGAAAGGTATTACACGGATTTTGTCCTCGTTTGGGGGTTTTGCATGGACCTCCAGGGATGTACAATCTTTCTTCTGTATCCCAGGAATGACCAATCTACTCCCCCCCGACCTTTAATTATGTGCTTTAAAAAACAAAAATCCCTTTTCTCCTGTCATTCAAGGTCTCTCCCAGAAAACAAAATCAAAAGCACCTCAGTAATAGCTTCTGTGCTTCAAAGCACAGGTAACTTGGGGAAAAGATAACAAAGCAGGATTTTGTTGTCAAAGGCTTTCACGGCCGGAGCTCATTAGTTGCTGTAGATTTTCCGGGTTGTGTGGCCACGGTCTTGCCCTTGTAGAACCTGATGTTTTGCCAGTAACTGTGACTGGCATCCTCAGAGGTATAACACAGAAAGATGGAGTACTCTCTTTGTCAATTTTCATTGCCTTGATACTCTCTGAGTCTTCTAGAGAGACGACGATGAACAGGTTTGTATACCCTGCTTTTCTCTCCCTGGAGGAGTCTCAAAGCGGCTTACAATCACCTTCCCTTCCTCTCCCCTGTGAGGTAGGTGGTGCAGAAATAGTTCTGAGAAAACTGTGATCGGCCCAAGATCACAAAGCAGGCTTCACGTGGAGGAGGCGTGGGGAATCAGACCCAGCTCTCCAGATAAGAGTCCACGGCTCTTCAACACCGCACCATGCTGGCTCTCTTCTAGAGAGACCCAGGTGCTCTAATGGCGGTTTCCACACAGGGATGGGCGTGCACGGTTTCCCTGTTATCGGTGAAGCTGCTGAAAAAGCATAGCAACAACAGGGCTTCTGCTGGCAGGAAAATCTGCTTAGGCTGTGGTCACACACACTAAATAATCCACTTTCAATCCACTTTCCAATTGGATTTTACTGTGTGAACTAGCAAGATCCAGTTGGAAAGTGGATCGAAACTGGATTATTTAAGGTGTGTGACCGCAGCTTTAGAGAAAGCAGACACCCAGCCTGGTCTGTGCCTCTCAAGGGGAGGATTTGCAAAGGCCCTCAAGTGCTCCTGCCCAGCAACCGTTTCCCCGTCATTTCAATATGGCGGCAGGTGGCTGAAAGGAGGCAGTTAATCCCCTCAGAGGTCACCTTTTCTTTCACCTTTACAGACCTCCTCAGCCAAGATCACAAAGCAGGCTTCACGTGGAGGAGGCGTGGGGAATCAGACCCAGCTCTCCAGATAAGAGTCCACGGCTCTTCAACACCGCACCATGCTGGCTCTCTTCTAGAGAGACCCAGGTGCTCTAATGGCGGTTTCCACACAGGGATGGGCGTGCACGGTTTCCCTGTTATCGGTGAAGCTGCTGAAAAAGCATAGCAACAACAGGGCTTCTGCTGGCAGGAAAATCTGCTTAGGCTGTGGTCACACACACTAAATAATCCACTTTCAATCCACTTTCCAATTGGATTTTACTGTGTGAACTAGCAAGATCCAGTTGGAAAGTGGATCGAAACTGGATTATTTAAGGTGTGTGACCGCAGCTTTAGAGAAAGCAGACACCCAGCCTGGTCTGTGCCTCTCAAGGGGAGGATTTGCAAAGGCCCTCAAGTGCTCCTGCCCAGCAACCGTTTCCCCGTCATTTCAATATGGCGGCAGGTGGCTGAAAGGAGGCAGTTAATCCCCTCAGAGGTCACCTTTTCTTTCACCTTTACAGACCTCCTCAGGAGGAGGAGGAACTGGCTGTGGCAGGGAGGGGAAGGTTCTGAGGAACAAAACAAGAGCGTTCAGTAGTGTTATCTCTGAGAACACCAAGGAGAAGAACACAAATCGTAAGGTGAAGCTTTTTAGTTTAGAAATAATTGATTTGTCTATGAAGAAAAATGTACCTTTCTGCAGGTGAAGTCCAGAATCCAGAGTGTCTGAGGAAGCAAAGGGACAGAAAGTGAGCAACAGACCCTGGTGCCCATCACAAATCTTGGGGGGGGGGGGAATATTTAATAATACCGTGTTTTTTCTCTTGGGAAGGGCAGGCAGCATGGTATAGCCTAATCTTGTCAGATCTCGGAAGCTAAGCCTGGTTGGTGCTTGGAAGGGAGATCAAAGAAGACTGTGAACCGGGGGGAGGGGGGAACCAGCAAACCACCCCTGTTTCTCACTTGACACCTCTTCCTGTAGGGCTCTTTTTGTAGCAGGTACTCATTTGCATATTAAGCGACACACCCCTAATGTAGCCAATCCTCCAAGAGCTTACAGTAGCTCCTGTAAGAACAGCTCTGTAAGCTTTTGGAGGATTGGCTACATTAGGGGGTGTGGCCTAATATGCAAAGGAGATCCTGCTACAAAAAGAGCCCGTTGTGACGTGATGGTACATATTTCTTCTGAGTTACAGCTAAAAGGTTAAGTAGAAGCTACTTATGCAAAAAAAAATTATTCATGTTCAGATATTCAAATTTGTTTTCACAAGTCACTTTGAGTAACTTGAGATCCACTTCACAGAACATGTGCTAAAAACTGTGCCCTAATGGTCCAATCCAGCTAAACTTAGGACGCTTCCAGACAGAGGTCCCAGAGCACCATCCTCAGCAGAGTCACACCCTTATAAATTTAGATTTCTATGGGCTCAGAAGGGAGTAACTCTGCTTAAGACAGCACAGTCGGCCCCCTTGAGTCTATCCTGTGGGCTCAGCTGGGACATATTCAAGCAAACACACATACTCAATTAAAGAGACCAGATTTGATCAGTTCGACTTGGCCACAGACACACTGCAAAGAGAAAGGGAGGGTCCCTGAAAGGGATCGGGTGCGTGGGGGGGGGGTCTCCATTAAAAGCGGATGCCCTGGAGGGCAATTTCCCTCCCCCTCCCTATCATTTTAGGTGCTTGTCTGACCATCTACCTCACAGTTTGCCCTTGCATGGCTACAGTTAATGACTAGAGATCAGCAACACAGAATAATTTTGAGAAATCCACGTAAGGCAATTCTGAGCTAAAGCTACAGGAGAATTCTGAGCAGAAAACTTTACACAGCGAACTAAAATAGCCTTCTGAATGGGTACATAAATTCCCTGCATTTCCTGAGTGTGCCTAGAGCAGACTAAAGCACACCTGGCCCACTGTAATGTCCAGTCTGAAATCCCTGCAGCATTTCTTCATTACCTTTGAGTTGCTTCTTGATTCCATCCAAAAGGGGACTTAAATCTGAGAAGTCCCAGACGTGCCACTTCAGTGCAAGAGGGAAAGCTGCTGGATTCTCAAATGACTCCCTGTCTTCATACCTGGAGAAAGTCGTGTTAAGGTGCCATCCGTCCAGTTCAGGATCTCCCCCGCCCCCAGTGGATCAGAGAAACAGAAAACGGAACAGGCAGAAGGTATAGAGAAAGTCTAGAGACACAGCACAGAAAGATTAGGGGGAGGTGCTCTTTGAAGAGGAATATTCACCTCACTGTAGCTCTTGCTTTGTTAAGAAGTGGGCCTGGGTTCCACACAGCCCCACAGAAAATGGCTACCACAAAATAAAAAAGAGCCCTTTTTGGCTCAGATTGCCACCGTGGGAGGGGGAGAGATCCTGCCTCCCCCCAACAGCTGTTTTTGCAAACCAAAATAGCACCGGGAAGGTTATCTGCCCATTTTTGCTGCTCCCTGCGGAGTACTTGGTGCAAATGGAACACCAAAAACAGGGGAACCCTACTTTGCCGAGGTGTGTGTGTGTGGGGAGCTTTTCTTAAATGGTGCTTGACATCATGTCAAGATACCAATGGCTGATTGGGGGGGGGGGTCAAAAAAACATCTTGGTGGCATTTGGGGGCCATTTCCACTTCCCTTGAGTACTGGATGCAGGCTGGTGGCATTTGGGGGCCGTCTCCACTTCCCTTGAGTACTGGATGCAGGCCAAACTGCCAGGGTGGAAACGGCCAAGCAGGAACGGCACATTTTGGTGCCACATGGTGGCAGGAACTCTGATATAAACACGGCACACACTCCTACTCCTGCTTCCTCGTCTGTTGTCTCAACCTACACTCCTTAACACGTGGAGCACATCGGATTGGCCTGCTCAGTCAGTAAAAAGCCACCGTGGCCAGCCCCGATGCCAATCAAGGCATCATTCGAAGTGGAGCACATCGGATTGGGCTGGGCGGTCATCACAGTGCTCAGTCAGTAAAATGCCACTGTGGCTAGCCCCGATGCCAATCAAGGCATCATTCGGGCCAAGTAAAGTTTACCACCTCCCATTTGGTGGAATGAATGTAGCTGAGGAGACCTGAACTCTATTTTCTGGGGTGTTTTGTAAAAATGTTGCTTTGACAATAGCTGCCACCACAACGCAAGGACCTTCACTGTGTGACTGAAGGTATGCTGTGGCAGCCATCTTGTGGCTGGTACCACCTCCTGTGACTCTGCCCACCACACGACATCAGAATTCCAAAAGCGCCTGCCACCTCAGAAAGGTTGGGGAGACCCTTGTTCTAGAGATAAACAACAAGGTGTGTTCCCTCTAAGCTGTGGAGCCCCGTGAGCAAAAATTCTACTTTGTGAGCTACTGGCATTAAAGTTGTGAGCGAGCGATTTGGCCACTGCATGAATTAGTTTGCTCTGGAGCCATCCCTTCCTGAGCTGAGACAAAAATGTGTGAGCTGGAGGCTAAAAAACTGTGAGCTAGCTCACACTAACTCAGCTCAGAGGGAACACTGGTGTCAGCCCAGCTCCCCCAGTGCTATTTCAGCACACAACTGACCATTGATCAGGCTCTGTGCAGAAGCTGTTTGCCACTGACAGACGGATGGAGATCCACGATCTTAGTTACACCTGATTTGGCCCTCAGCCACGACCCTGAAGGACCACGTTCTCCACAGGCTTCTCAGTCCGATCCCAGCATTAAGAAGGTTAATGTTAAAGGTCCACTTACCTCTGTAAGGTGCTTCTGGCATCCTAAAGAAAAAGGCAGAGAGAGAGAGAGAGGAAAAAGGGAGACCTGAGTGCCTGCTAAAAGGTCAAACCAGGAAGACCCCCTCAGGTTCTGGAAGATTCTGCACTTGGGCCTTTTGCTTGCATCCAGCTAGCAGACTTCACTCAGAGACTGGGGTAGATCTTCATAAAGTGGGAGAAAAAACTGCAGCCATTTCAGAGCAGAGCTGAGTGATCTCCTTTGACAACTCAACAGCTGCAATTTTCACATAGGCTTTCGCAGTGATAGAGGGTATTACTGAGAAGAACGGAAAATCTCATGTCTCCATCTTAGCCAAAATTTTGCCACGTGCAGCCTGCACTTTCTTTAGAAATAAGAGCTAGGAATCAGTGAAGCAGATTAGAACTAGAACGTCACAACGACCTAGCAATCTAGGCACTGCCCTTTTCTTCAAAGCCTGAGAAAAGCCCAGAGATGGGGGGAGGATGGTGCCCCCGGGGACTGAGAGAAGCGGAGCCAAACTCAGTCACCTTTCAGCCCCCTAATGGACTTTCCCCCCTTTCCCTGTCGCACTGCAGGAAGGCTCAAGCAATGAAAGGGAAGGGAGGGGCTGGACAAAAATGCCACCACATCTGCACAGCTGTGGGGGGCTGACAGTGGCAAGCACAGGGGTGCCAGGAACCGGTGTGTGGATGCCGTTCGTAACAATTTGTTGTCGCTGTCGTGTGTCTGCGTGCGTTTTTCCGCGCCCACCCACAAGCAGCCAGTATAAGCGACCTTCCCCGCCCCCACAGACATCCTCTTTTTAAAATGTGCTGTGTAATATCTTGCATGTGACCCTCGTTCCTGGATTTTCAGGGGTCTTTGGAAAGAGCTACGGGTGAACCTGGCTTTGCTTGCGTGTCTGTCGGTGGAGACTCAACCACAGTCTGGCTTCTGAGATGGAAGCCGAGTGGTGTCAGACAGGGGGCTGTGGGGGGAGGGGGTGGCGTTTCGCGGGGCCCCTGGGGTTGTCCAGACTGCCCCTGCCTGGAGATGTAAAGGGGGAAAGGGGAAAGTGGCCCATGTGCAGAGGTGGAAACCTGCTAGCAACATAAACTGGGCTTGGTTGCTTTTCTGCTAAGCAGAGGAGGCACCCGGGCTGTTCCCGCCACCCCCTCACCTGCAGGAGATCCGTGGCCGGCTGCTGACTCTTCTCCTCCATCTCCCGGATGAGGCTTTCCAGAGAGGAGAGGGCCTCAGAGATTTCGGCCAGGTGCCAGTCCCTTTTCTTCGCTACCTCCTTCTCCACCTCTTCCACCTGGGCCAGCAGAAGTTTCTCTTGTTCCTCTAGAAACAGGTGCAGTTGCCTGAACTTGGTCACTGTCTCTTGCTTCTCTCCTGTGGTTTGCTTCTGAATTGGAAAGAGGAGGAGGCCAGCGTCAGGAACACAGCTGGTCTTTGCAGGGGGAAGAGACACTTGAGGAGGCTCCTATCCTACAAACACCACTGGGGGCAAAAGAGCTCAGACGCCCCTTCCCCTCACTTGGTCTCCCAATCTAAACTGCGGCCTCCCTGGCTGCATTTTGGGCAAGAATAAATTGGTGTGTGTGGAATCTACATGCTGCTGAGTATCTCAAATACTTTCCTCCTTCGAATCAGCAATGGCTGAATCCCACTTGGCTCAGTTCCGCATCGCTGGGGTAAGGTAAAGGTAAAGGTTCCCTTGCACGAAAGCCAGTTGAATCCGACTCTAGGGTTGCGGTGCTCATCTCCATTTCAAAGCCGAAGAGCCAGCGCTGTCCGAAGACGTTTCCGTGGTCATGTGGCCGGCATGACTAAACACCAAGGCACACAGAACGCTGTTACCTTCCCACCAAAGTGGTACCTATTTATCTACTTGCAATTTCTTGCTTTTGAACTGCTAGGTTGGCAGGAGCTGGAACTAGAGACGGGAGCTCACTCCATCATGCGGCACCCGGGTCTCGAACTGCTGAACTACTGGCCTTCCACAGCCTGCAGTTCAGCGTCTTAACCACTTGAGCCACCGCAGCTCCTGGGGTACCTATCAACATTTGCAGCAAGCATTTCGGGGAGGGGGGCAGAGACTTCTCCTCGGCTGCTTGTTGGCGCATTCACACAGACAGGGCCTGGACACAGATCTCCTTCTGCCTCGGATTCACCCCACCGCAGAGAGTGCCTTGGAAAGTCAACTGAATCCGCCCCAAACAAAACCACCCGAGAACAAAATGAAACAAACAAACTGGTTCTAGTTCTGTGTAAACAACCAGGGGCAGACAGCCCACCAGGTGGCCCTCAGGGACTGCCTAGGGTGCCAGAGGGCAGGGAGTGCCAGGGGGCACAAGAGTGTGCAGTTCCACACCATCCCCAGCCAGCCCCACCACCCAGGTAACAACTCTGCTTAGAACTGCAGTGTTAAGTCCGCCAAAGAGCTGCCTTCGGGGGCCTGGTCTGCTGAATACGGACCATCTGTGCATAGAGCTCCCAGAGAGGGATGCCAGCCTCCAGGTGGGGCCTGGGGATCCCCTGGAACTGCACCTCATCTCCCGACTACCGAGATCTGTTCCCCTGGAGAAAAGGGAGGCTCTGGAGGGTGGACTCTATGACCTTGCACCAGCCCTGGATTAACCATTAAGCAAAACATGCACCTGCTTTGGGCACCAAGGGGGCACCACAGAGGTTTTTGCCCTTAGCTATCATTAACTCTTTCACTGCCACACTCAACTGCTACCTAGTGCTTATATATATAATATTTAATAAAGTTGTGGGGTCTGGCCGGGGGGATGGCTTGGAAGAAAACTGAATGTTTAATCTCTTCTTTCACCTTCTGCGCTTACGGAGTCTTAATGTCTTGTCAGTTAGGCAACGGAAGGGCCGAGGGGCACCACTGCTGGGCTGTGCTGAGGGCATCAGTTGGCCTTAATCCGGCCCTGCATCGGACCCCCCACTGAGGTCCCTGACCTCCCCAGGCTCCATCCCTCCGTCTCCAGGAGTTCCCCAGCCTGGATCTGGCAACTCTGCCCCACTCCATCCCCCGCTGGTGGCCAAGGATGGACGAACCTGGAAACCCCACCTCCAAACTGAAGGGGGAGGGGCGGCCTGGTGGGTTGACTTTATTGCTATTTGAACTCTGTTCACTCCCCAGGCACAGTGACACTCACGAGCAGCTCTTGGCTTTCCTTCTCCACGTCTCCTTTATACGCCACAATTCTCTCTCTCTCCTTCTTCAGAATCTCCAGACAGCTGCAGAACTGATCCTGTGGGTGGGTGGGGGGATGCAAAACTGAAATGTGTTCTTTTTAAAGGTTTACTCCATCCTCTTCCCTCCTGCCCACCATCATACATACACACACACCCCAGACATGGGTTTGATTTCTTGCATAGAAAACCATTATTTGTAGTTAATATATCAGTATATTGTGTTAACACTCCAGCAATATACCCAGTACTGCCTACCGTAACAAGAAGTGGCAAAAAGCTCAGTGGCAGGGGAAGTGGTGGAAATCAGTACATTCCACACTTCTTCAAAAACCTCTTTTGATACGATATTTAAAGAATGATTCAAAGAAGGTTTGGATCCACAGAAAACAGGGAAGGTGAGTAGGGAAACCACAATGTTGTGCCCAACTTAAATCTCCTGCAATTTCAGAGGGGGCTCTGCAGCAGGAATTTTTTTGGGGGGGTGGATGATTCCTTGTAGTGCCACAGTGCAGTGGTAGGGCCGTGGCTCAGTGGGAGACCATCTGCTTGGTTAGCAGAAGGTCCTGGGTTCAGGAAGAGGTTATCAGTTGATGTGAAGACCTCCGCCTGAGTCCTTGGAGAGCCACTGCCAGTCATAGTGGTAGAAAAACCACAGGACCATGGTGTATAAAGCAGTCAATTATAGCAACAGCAGCACCATGTCAAAATACTTGTATTAGTATGAATTTATTACGACTTCTTCCAATATGATAAGACTCATAAATGCTAATTTTTACTATCAGTACAGCAATTTAACCTGATTTACAATAATAAATATTTACAAAATCAATTTATATGCAAGTTACAATGAGTCATGATATAGCTCATAAAGGTACCCCAAGTCAGCAGCTTCATGCATAGCTCTCCCTCTTCCCAATACTGTTCTTCTGATTTAAAATGCTACCTCACAGCTATGCTGTGCAAGTGGGGGATACACACAGACAGGTACCAAACCTGCACATGTTCTCCCCCAGCCCCCAGGCAAACACCAACTCCAGAATGACAATTGAAATCGGGAAAGTGGTTTGTGGAGGCGGGGGGGGGGATTAAACCTGGGAGTCAGGTGGCTGCCCCCTCCTAGCTCATCCACACAGTCAGCCAACCGGATGTCAACACAGCCAGAGAGGAAGTGAGTCCATGTCCCCATCTCACCCCATGTCGGCCTCAGCAGGGGGGCAGGAAGCAATGCCCCAAGGGAGACACCAAGCCAGGAGGGAGGCAGTGAAGAGATGTTGTCACTCCCCAGTGTGGGCCCAGAGTCTGGGGAGGAAACTGGAGGGAGTTTCCCTGCAAAGAGACCCCCAACAAACTCCACCTGCTGGATTTCCTACCTTGTACTCTTGGAAAGCCTCCTCAAGAGGAAGGGTTTTGTGATCTCTGTGCTCCTTGGACCGGTCACAGACCACACAGATGAGAGCTCCATCGTCCTTGCAGAAGAGCTTCAGGGGCTCCTGGTGCTTCTGGCAAACTCCCCCTTTTCCAGCTGTCCCGACCGCCTGATGCCCCCCAAAAGAAAAATGATTCATTTTATTTTTTCTTTCCCCTAGAACTGTATCTCTCCTTCTAACGACTGGATATAATAAGAGTCTTGTTCAGTTAAAAAATAACACCCACATAAAAAATAACACACACACACACACATATAAAAGCGGGATGTAACCAACCCATAGGATGTAACCCAATGGGTATCGCTTTCAACTGGAGTTTGGGGAGGGGAAACGTATTTTGTCAGTGTGAGGAAGCCAGGGGAGGGGTGCTGAGGAAAAAAGTAGTTCTGAGGAGAAAAGAGAGGCAGAAACTATCTGACTTTTGGTGCAGAAGACAGGGAAGCCGAAGAAGGAGCCTCCAGATATCTGGAGCCCCAAAAACACTGCCGCCGTGGGCCAGTCAAGCTGCAGCAGCAAAGACTGAGGGGGAAAGACTTGCAGACGGCCTCAGAGACGCACAGCAGAAGACTCTCATCATCACCTCTTTGGTTCCCAATTTAAGTTAGGTTGCCTGGGAGTTTTCTATACATGAACTGTGCTTGAATTCTCCACTCTTCCACTTTGGATTAAACCCTACTTGTATTCTAAGTTCTACTTGTAGAAGGTTATCGGCGATTGTAGGGTCTGGGAATTTTTGTCAATGTTTCCCTTTTTTACCTACTGGCCATCTCTCATTAGGCCATGGAGGCCAGCAGGCTGGAGTTGCTGCTGTCAAGAAAGTGGCCTTTCTCCATCCGTTTCTTGGCCTTCCAAATTTTGGTTCAAGGTTTGGGGCCTAGTCAGTTACAGAAGGCCCCTGTCAGGGAACCCAGTGTGGTGATGGCTTGCAGTTCTGAGAGACAGAGATTAGGGATGAGATGGCCACAGGTGGAGGTGAGATCATGGAGGCTTCAAGGCTGAGACCCAGAGGCAGTTTGGCAATCCCATTTATTCTCATTCCTCCAAGGAACCCAGGTATGTGTGTGAGGGCTTGCTTGGGACTGTGGGCACACACTGGCTGCAGAAGGAGGCAGTCACAGGTCTTAGCAACGCCCCTGACTGGCCAAACAGGATCAGGCCATCTGAGGGCAGTCTGGCATAAAGGGAGACCATTCTTCTGATCTTGTACCTTTGTGTCATCCTTTTGACTAGGTTGGGTCTTGCATGGCTGGAATACCTGCCTCCTGGATTTTGGACTTTGAGACTTTACCTTGACTCTGTGCTTCAATCTGGTCTGGGTCAGAGGACCCAATAGCCTGTGTATTTTATGTTAGCTATTTAGTCTTTATTGTCTTCTTTCCTGGCTTGCAGTACTCTGATACTTGTATACACTTTTTGCACATTTCTTTAATAAACCTTATTAACCCACTCAAGCACCTTTTTGGACCTGTTTATTACTGGCTGCTCTTTGTGAGCCAATCTGTGCCTGACCGAGAGTGGGGGAATAGTGTTATATCACGTATATAATGTTTAATATTATATTAAAAGTTACAATGAAGAACAATAAGAATGATGGTTATAATAGTTGTGAAGATTTCATGAGAAGATTTGCATGCAGGATGTTAAATTTGACTTTTTATATATACCTCTATATCTTTTCTTCTCCCTTCTTTCCCCTTTCCTGTGTATAAGCTAATAAAATTCTTTTTTTTAAAAAAAGTTGCAAGTGGCAACAACCCTCAGGCTGAGAAGAGCTTTGGCCTCAAAGTGAAATTCTGAGCCGCACAGAAGGATACCAGATAGTCTCCTGGGCTGGTTAAATGAGACACAGCAAGAGCCCTGCTAGATCCGCCCAGCCCACACTCTTCTTTCCAAACTCTGGACAACCAGATGTGTCCGGCAGAGGAAGGGGGGTGCCCTTCCACACATTAAGCGGGATGTCTGAAGTTTCTGCCAGGCTGACCAAATCCCAGATCGCTCTCAGGTCCCTGCATTTAATTTCACTGAATACCCATCATTGCTTGCATTTCAACTAGGATTGTTTTCACCGGACTGAATCTACGGAGAAGCCAAGAAGAATCCCCAGCCATTCCGCATCCAGATCCACAGAGACCTCTTACCTCCTTCTCTTGGGCCACCTCCTGCAGAGGATCTCTGGGTTCCTGGGACCTGCCGCAGACCACGCAGAGGAGCTCTACCGACTCCCGGTGCTTCTCGCAGGCTCCCCCCTTCCCACCGGCCTCTTTCCCCTCCTGCAGAGTGAACCTCTTGGCGATTTCCACAATGTTGGCCAACTGATGATTGGGGCGGAGGCTCCCCTCCTGCGCCCTTCGCCTGCATTGGGGGCAGGAAGGCTCGGCGATCCCGGACTCCCCCCAGCTGCGGGTCAGGCAGGCCCGGCAGAAGCTGTGGCCGCACTCGGCGATGGCCACCGGGTCCCTGAAGAACTCCAGGCAGATGGAGCAGGTGGCCTCCTCGCAGAGCTCCTCCAGGGGACCCCCCGCCGCCATGGCTGCCTGGACGAAAGGCTGGGGGAGAACAGGGTTAGTTTCGCTTTCCCGCTTCCCAAAGCAGCGAGGGGGGCGTCTCTCTTCCTGCACATTACAGTTCTCTGCCGGCGCCCAATCACCGGCCGGGCGGCAAAAGCAGAGTCGCCGGGGAGGAAGACAAAGGGGAAAAGGCTGGGGAGGAAGCTGAGCTGACTCAAACCAAGATTCCACCTCTCTGCCTTACGCCTTCACCCTTTCCCACGACAGCAACACACGTGTGTTTCCTGCAAACCCAGATTTGGATGCAGATCCCAGAATCGCAAGAGAGGGCAGAATGTCCCGCGCCTCTGCAGAGAGAGGGGAGTCACATCTCCGAAAGCTCCTGCCCATGAAAGAAAAGTCCAGGCAGCCAGAAAAGCAGCAGAGCAGAGAAAGGTCCAAGGATATAACCTCACTCCCTGAAGTGCTAGTTTTCTGTTGGGAAGGCCGGAGATCAGTGCTTTAGTTGTGTGCTTCCTGCCCTGGCTCCAACCTGGTGGAAGCTGCCAAATAACATCCATGCCTGCAGGACTAGATGCAGGTTTGCAGAGCCTGTGAGGCAGAGATGTTCCACCAGGCATTTCCTTGAGAGATCAGGGACGGTTACATCCATCTGGCACTCCCACTCCATAAGGCAGTGACACGACTGAAATTCTTAGTGTCATCTGTGTAGGTGACCACTGTTTTATTGTTTTTAAATTTTATTATGGATTGTAATATTTTATTATGTTGTACACTACCCTGAGCCTCCAACTTTGGAGAATGAATTATGCAAAGTGGGGACGTGCCCATATTGATCTCAGCAGGGGGTGAAGAGGGTGACTTGAATCAACCTGAGTTTTGCTCTCCTGTGGTTGTTACCTGCCAAGAAGTCTCAGTTTATTCGTTCAGTAGTGGAAGAGCTTTTCATGGATGACCTGCAGGTCAGGCTGCTGAGGATCTCAACACTTTCCTGTCTCAACCTTCGCTATCTTACTTCCCCAGGACTCAACAGGGATATTGGTTTCTTATCTCATTACATATGTTAACTCATTCAGTCGTCACATATGTATTCTCATGCAGAGGGACTGTACATCCTCTGTATTTTAGTGTATTTCTATTTTAGAATACTATATTAGAATACTGAATGTAATACAAGGAATACTGAAAGTTTGGCTGACATAACACTGCACCCACCTCAAAAAAGACAAAAAAAGACCCTGCACTCAGAAAAAGAGCCCCTCAAGGAGGAGTCTAGAGTGAACCATCTCCTGTTGACGTGCTAACATTTTTGGATCTATTTGCTCTGTTTCTTAACACGGGGTTCCAGAGAGGACCAGGCCAGCTTTAGAGATTCCTAATGGTAATTTTAAAAACTGCGAAAATGCCATTATAATGACCTATTGTGGCAATGAATAGTCTACAGATTTAAAGTAACTCTCTAGCTCTTTTCAGAGTTACAAAGGGAACTGTATTGGTTGCACATGGCTCTTCATAACTCTGGAAGGAAAAGGACTAGAGAGTTATTTTAAAAAATGAAATCTGGATAGTAATACATTGTTGCTATAGGTAGGGGGTATACATATTTTAATAAGACTCTTTTTTAAGCTCTCGAGGGGTGGGGGGGGCATGACCTGGACAGCCCCAGGCTAGCCCGATCTCATCAGATCTCAGAAGCTCGTAGGGTTGGCCCTGCTTAGTTCTTGGATGGGAGACCACCAAGAAAGTCCAGCGTCGCTATGCAGAGGCAGGCAATGGCAAATTACCTCATTATATCTCATTATATCTCTCACCTTGAAAACTCTACGGCAGGGGCGTTGAACTCATTTGTTATGAGGGCCAGATCTGACATAAATGAGACCTTGTTGGGCCGGGCCATGCGTGTCATAAAATGTAATGCCAGGTAGCGGAGAGATAAACTTTATAAAGGACACAAACACAAGGGTGGGGTATTTTTACTTAAAATAAAAACATGCTTAAAACATTAGCACTCTTGCAATATTTTGTTTATTTAACAGTGTCTGATAATTGACACCTCTTGCTCTGAATTATTGCACCAAAATGTCTGTGCTGTTGCAATCTTGAGTATGTTGTTCAGGTGTGTATCTGTAAGCTGCAATCCTACAATGACGCAGCAGCAGAAGAACTGGAAGAAGAAGCAGAAGATAGCCAGTTCCACTGCGGGCCTGATAGAAGCCCTCCGGGGGCTTGATCCGCCCCCCGGACCCCATGTTTGACACACCTGCTCTACAGGGTCACTATAAGGCAGCTGTGACTTGAGAGCAAAAAAAGTAGGGGATGGAATGGCCTCATTGGAGCATCAAAGCAAGGAAATTGCTCATGTGCAGAAATCAGTGAATAGTGAAGAGCCCTGCCCACATTGGTGCCAGCACACAGAGGCCTCATTTACCTCCCTCTCCTGTGCTCCACCACAAGAACTTCACTCATATGCACAAAATCTTCTGAAGGTGCCATCCTTCCAATGGGCTAGACTAACAACCGCCTGCACACATGCTTCCTCTTTTGTGGCCTCCACTTTGTGGAATGGCCTGCCTGTGGAGATCAGGAGAGCTCCCACACATCCGTCATTCTGTAAACTGTATAAATAGTTATTTGGGAGGGCTTCTCAATAACGGTAACAGGGCTATGCTATAACAGAATGGTTCAGGAAGACGCTTTGTAAAGGTGAATAATTAAGTAATTACATTGTGGAATTCACTGGCAGTGAATATAGTGATGGCCGGAAGAATAGATGGCTTTGAAAGAGGGTTAGACAGATTCATGGAGGATACATCCATCAAGCTATGGGCTCTAAGGAGAACCTCCATATTCAAAGGCAGCAAATCTTTGAATATCAGTGCCAAGACATGAACAAAGTTTGAGTCCAGTGGCACCTTTAAGACCAACAAAGTTTTATTCAAGGTATAAGCTTTTGTGTGCATGCACACTTCTTCAGAAACAACGATCCAGAGTCAAAATGCAATTGTTGTTGCAGTCTGCCAAATTGTTTTCCATCTGTCACAAGAATGTGAGAGTCGTGCTTTCTAGGGAGATGTGATTGAGCTCTTTGAACTCTCCCCAACTGCGATTGAGTAAGCTGAAATTTTAGATATTAGTATTTAGGGGGATTGCTCAATTGCTCTGTGTACCCACTGTATCAACTTGATTACACATTTTTTTTTAATAAAGATTTTATTGACTCCCCTAAAAAGGGGAGGTATTTCGCTTAAAAGAAGAAATGGGAAGGGTAGACAGTGGGAGAAAGAGAAAGCTGAGTGATATATAAACTGGTAAATTAAACTGTTAGTAATGTCCAATTAATCTTCTTGGGCTTCTTCTGTGTGTTGTCAAACTTCTTTTTTTAATCCGGTCACATAAAATTCTCTGTTAGTATGTTAGTAATGTTCCTTTGAGTTTCTGTTAATAAAAAAGCCTCTTCTGGGCACATTCAGAACCGCTTCTTTGCGTGCTGGGTACTTTTAGTGTCGCTGATGTGGAGGAGCTTCCTCTGTTGTCTTCTCCTCCTGGCTTGTTTGATCCTCCTTCGGGTTGCTGTTAACAATCTCAGTTCATGCACTATAAATCCTCTTCCTTGCTTGCCATTACTGGAGGTCCCCAGCTTTGAGAATGGTATTAATTTCT